GAGAGAGACAGACACACGGACGGTCACTCACGCTGGTGATCGGTCAGTGAGTGACTGTATCATGAGAATGATGGTTTACTGACCGATGGGAAGTGTGATGAACAGGACTGTGGGATGCTGGGAAGGGCTGGAAACCGGCTCTTGTTCTGCATTATCTCCTGTAAAGAGGCAGACAGATGTTGAGTGTGTGACCAGAGCGAATGAAGGCGCGTCAGACAGGAAGAGGAACTGACCGCTACGAGAGCCCGTCTGAGAACAGCTGTTCACAGCGATCCGTTTGGGTGCATGTCCCTTTAAATGCTAATGAGCTCTGCTCACCTCGCCCCTCTCTTCCTTGGGGTGAAGAGCCGTTCTCTGAGACTGTTAACTTTAGACGCATTTAGCCTCGGAACTTGCTAACTAGCACATTATTAGGAAAGGCAATTTGCAAAGATTCATAAAAAACCTTATACGAATGATTCGCATGAACATAGACGCATTTAAGCAGATCGAGGGGGTTGATTCCCTTCAGAAACAAACATAATCCACTGGGTCTTGAGCAGCTCAGATGTCGGGAGTAAATGACGACTGCTATGTTCATTATTACATCCAACAACAGAACACCTCAATCGCTCAGGAGTCATTCTTGTCTACATCTGCTCCGGCGTTGAAACAATGGCGGATGACAGCTAACTCAGGGCGGAGCTAAGGTAAGACACCAGTGTCAATCAACAATCGTGGGAGGGGCCTGTGCAGAACTACGTCACTCTGCCAAGACTCTCAGAACAGCCTGATCTGAGACAGTGATCTTTATTATTGGGGATTTAAAAAAAGCACTGGGTGGATTTTATCATTATAGGGTGGATGTGTACACACTGCCAACACACATTTGTTCAAACACCAGGTAAAAGTGAATTTTGCATCCGATGACCCCTTTAATATAGTGACTATGTTGATGCAGCTGGCCGGTCGGGTCTGAACGCACCTGACACACACGTCCTCATGTCAGCGGCCAGGGTCAGGTGATCAGGACAGGCGCAGGTGTATTTGGGCGAGTGTGTGTTGATCTGCGGCGCCGGCAGACACAGAAACTCACAGCCACCATTGAGCGCAGCCGCGTCTCTGCACCAGTCCTGTCCTGCAGAACAACACAGATCAGCACCGGGACACACATGCTAACGAGAACACACACACACACACACACACACACACTAACAAGAACACACACACACACACACAAACGAGCTGGTGTCTCACCGGACGGCTGTCTCAGGCTGTGATAGAGCACGATGTCCGCGGGCGACTGCAGATGCTCGGCCACGGCGGCCACGTCTCGCCCCGTCACGCGGTTAGTGCTCCAGATGCCGTTATTGGACACGTCGGTCCAGAACACCTTCTCCTGTGGGACACACACAAAGCCGTTTGCACCGCGCTCTTCCGTCACTTAATGTTATATTTTGGTGCGCCAATCGATTAAATTACTTCACACGAGACCATGATCTGCACTCACAAAAGTGATCTTTTTAATGTTTATTCTACATTCATCACCAGTGTCAAAACACAAACGTTTCGGCTCAAGGCCTTCCACAAAATATTAAAGATGGATTCAAACAATTATAATTCATTAAAGGAAAACCGAAAAGATCTAATTCCTTATTCATGCCACTTGGAGCCAGTGATTTGAGTTTATAGATCCGCAATGCTTCTGATTTTAGTAATTGTTCCGACAGACGTCACGCACCTCGAACACGGCAAGCGCCAGCGGGTGCGGCAGCGTCAGCTGGTCCTGGATCAGTGTGTGTCGTCTGTCTCCGTTCACGCCGATGCTGGACAGAGTGTGTAGCTTCGAGTCGACCCAGTAGAGACGGCCGCTCATCACATCTGCACACAACATCACGCGTCAGCTAGAGCTGGGACATACGGCAAAACATTACAATCCCCATGTCTTCAGAACCTTTGACCGGTTCTCGATTTTTACTGTTTTTAACGACTCAACTTGAAAATGTAACTACAACATGATTAGAGTAGCTTTTTCTTTATTAACCCGCTAGTTAAAGAAAATTCTATTCCAAGTGCAGCACACATGAAGTATATGTTCAACAAATCACTTGTTAAATATCTTCGCAGAAAAGATCCATGAACTACAACTTGTCTTACACATATTATATGTTCAGAAATAATACAAGAAAAATGCTTTAAAAAAAATCAAGGTAATTCAATTTCAGAATGACTGAAGGTATAACACCAGTAGACTATTATTAACTACAGACGTTCTGTAAAAACAATGAACAGCAGCTTTAAGCCCGTCACCGTGATGCACACATGAAATATCAGACAGTTACAGGTTTTTTCTTCGATTGCGCTGCTTTTCCATTGTTTTTCTATGCAGTCATGAATGTTTGACTGTTGCGCTCGTCTCTTATGAAACAGCTTTCTAAAAACACTGCGCTCAAGTTAAAAGAAGTTCACTCGCATCTTCTTGCATGTTTCCTATTCCACTGCTGCGTCTTTATCATCACAAAAGCACATTCTGTGTGAACGGTGTCTAGCGATACGAGTGCGTCACATGCGAGCGGTTAATCGTTCTGTTATCATGGGCACACTGTCATAGTGTCCAATTCTAACGTTTGGTCGATATATCGTGATTCCTCGACTTCTAAAAAATTAAATTGTGGCAAAACATTAAACTCGAATTAATCGATAAAATCGTGAAAATCGCGCAGCCCTAGCGCCAGCACACCACACCGATCTCACCGAGCGTGACGCCGCTGGGCCAGGCGATGTGTTCGGTCACCAGGGCCGTGCGGTCCGCGCCGTTCAGGCCGCTCTTCTCGATGCGCGCCGGCTCGCCGCAGTCCGTCCAGAACATGAAGCTGCGGGGCGGGAAACAACAGATCAGCATTCGGCGCGAACGCTTTCGCACTCACACTCACACTCACACTCACACTCACTCACAAACACTCACTTGCGCTGCGGGTCGACGACGATCGCGCGCGGATTCTGCAGGCCCTCGCTGACGAGCGTCTTGCGTTTGCTGCCATCTGCCGTCGCCACGGAGACGGTCTGCAGCTCGCCGTCTGTCCAGTAGATGTTTCCGTGGACCCAGTCCACCGCCAGGCCCTCGGGGCGGGAGATCCGGCTGTCAATCACAGTGCTGCGGTGGGCGGGGTCAGCGGCCGCGGCGCTGCGGGACAGACAACACGCCAGAGACGATGGTTTGATTAATGAACGGAGAAGAAAAACTGATTAAAATTATTTTATTATGAGAGTAGAAACTAGCGGAGCAATGGAGGAAATCACTGAGACGGCGATCAATGAAACAGTTCATCTCAACAAAACCAGTGTCAGTGTTGGGGAAAGTTACTTTTAAAAGTGATGCATTACAATGTTGCACTACTCCATTAAAAAAAGTAACTAACTGTGTTACTTTCATGGAATGTAATGCGTTACGTTACTTTTGCTTTAGTTTTAGTCACCTGAGCTTGGCTTGCTTATTTGTTTTTTAATAAACAAAAAAAACCCAAAATTATATTGTTGGCAACTGTAAAGGTGCTTTCACACCAAAAGTGAAATTAATGATCCTCAGGCTGAAGGAATCGCCTCTGCACTGATTTCTGACAACACGAGGACGGGACAGCTGTCCCCAGGTAAAAGAGAAAAAAAAGTACACTTCCATAATGTACTTAAAGTGCATTTATAAAAAAAAATATATTTAGTTACCACTTGTAGTACACTTGAACCCATCTTTCATACACTAGTACACTCAAGTGTACTGCAAGTGGTGACTGAATACATTTCTTAAATACAGAGATAGTATGTTAAAAGCGCATTTTAGTTCATATTCATCGTGTCCCAAAATAGCACAGTTGAGTACACTTAGATGATCTTAAGAAGTACTAAAGAATATTTTTTAGTATATTAAGTACAAAATTAGTGCGTGAAAATAGAGCACTTTAAGTACATTATGGAAGTGTATTTTTTTTTAAACCTGGGGATCAGTCAATGGATGGGAAAACAAAGTAACTTGCATTACTTATTTGAAAAGGTAACTCAGATTTTTAGTTGTACATTTAAAAGTAATGCATTACTTTACTAGTTACTTGAAAAAGTAATCTGATTGCATAGCTTGGATTACTTGTAACGCAGCGATCAGTCGGACACAGTCGGGTCTCTCACCTGTAGATCTTCTTCAGACTCGCGTCAGACCAGAAGATCCTGTCGCTGTGAACATCCACGTCCAGCGCCACCACGTTCTTCTGCTGGCGGATCAGCGCCGTGTATGTCCGGCTGCCCAGCGCCATCTTCCGGACCTCGTGCCGCGTGCTGAAGAGCAGGAACGCACCGGATCCTGCGGGAGGACACATGCATCTCAAGCTCTGAGCCGTTACCCATAATTCCCTCTGATCACTCGTTTCTGTTCAGTCACGCACCTGTTACCGCTTTGCAGTCTTTGGTCATGTGATCCAGCTCAAACCCATCTTTACAGTCACACCTGAAGCTGCCCGGCAGGTTTATGCAGATCTGAGTGCATCTGTCTGTGTCTGCACACTCGTCCACGTCTACACACACACACACACTCGTGATGAGACCACACGCACTCACGGACCATCATGCACTGCGCTCATCGGGACGGAGCTCACCTTCACAGTGTGTGCGGTTGATCAGGTGGAATCCGGCCGGACACACACACTCGTATCCCATCTTCAGGTCGCTGCAGGTGTGGGAACAGCCGCCGTTGTTAGTGAGGCACTCGTTAGTGTCTGCAGGAAACACACGTATCACATGATCATCTTTGACCGTTTCAACACTTTTCAGACTTCAATCACGTCAGTGAGGACGCTGGAGGAAAGACTGAAGACTATACCAGAGGTCTCCAACCACCGGCTCGGACGAACGTTCTGGGAAAAATCTATGCGACACTTATTTATTGTGCGTTAATGATTGTTCTAGTTATTCTGTATTTTCTTTTGTTGTATGCGATTGCTATGGAGTAACAATTTGATAATTTTTCAAATTTAATGTTCATTTAGTAAATGTATGATTGTTCAGATCTATAATATATATATATATATATATATATATATATATACAGTGGGTACGGAAAGAATTCAGACC